AAAGGAATACTGTGTATCTTTTTCCGTGGGTTTGTGTGATGTATTTGTGAGTGGCTCAGGTACACTTGTAGCTCAAAAGCTCCCCCTAGCACCAGCCTTCTCCATTGCAGTTGCTGTAGTTGTGCTCAAGCTACTAGTACTGACTATTCCAAGCTGAACTGTAGAAAGCTTTGCAAGCGTACGAGTTTTAGCGCGCTACATGTGTAGAAAGAAAACCAACCGCTCAAGCCTCTGTGTCACTCAACTGGAAGTTATTTTTTCTACCTGTAAAAAGATGAAAAAAAAACAAGGGGAAAACAAATGATATGAATGTTCTGGAAACACATGTGGCTCCACGACTGATGCAGTAAGGCTAGGTAGTCTTTGCTGGTCTTTTCTCTGCAGCATAACGAAGCTAGCCCCTCTTCCATCTAAAATTAAACCAGCAACAAGATATGTCCTTGTTTTAGACGATGTTCTTGCTGCCTATTATACATACAATTTGATTCTGTAAAACCACAAATTGTTCATCCAGGATAAGAAAAGCCTTGTACAAAGTTGTGTAAGAACAGAAAAAAAGCTGTAAATAATACTTTCTTCCCGTTGTTCGAACCAGTAGATTTATCGACGTAGGATCTTGTTTTTTGTGTCATGCATTTTCACCCCTTTTTGTTCATGTTCATAATGATTCTTCTTCTTCTTGTGGTGTAAAAACAAAAAAAGACGTGCGTTTCTGCCGACGGCACCTTGCAGATGTAGTGGTACGAGTTTTCCTATGTAAAACTGGGCAGTTTGGAGCACTCGAATCCTGCCCAGTCAGGCTTGTGGTGCCTGGATCCTGTTGACAGCACATAGTGCTTTATTAAAAAGATGCCAGGCTACACTGGTGATGAAAAAAAGCTCACAGAACTTCTGTCGTTGTTGTGTTGTCATTTTTGACAATTTGTTTGACGATTGATTGTGAGATTGTGTATTAAAATCTACACATTATAAATGAATAAGCCACAAAAAAATTGTCAAAGTTGCGTACAATTAAGCACTAATTAACTACATACAATAAATGATGCAAAATAATATTTTGCTAGGATGAAAACCTTAACTCCATATTGTGGATTATATCTTGATTTACCTTTTGGCCGTGGTAAGATTATTTCTTTCTTGAACTCTATTTTGAGCTTAGAAGAGTTGTCATCCATAAAATGCCTTATAGCATTATATAGGAGAGGAAAGGTGGTGTTTTTATATTTTAAGGGGGGCAAGAAATGTTCAGAACGAGTGAATAGTATAGACTTCAAAGCGTGGTTCAGAAAGCATGAGACAAACTTTCTTTTTAGTTGTGAAATCCCTCGTACCAAGTTATGAAATCCATTTCCTTGGAAATGTAGCATTTTGGCCTAGCCTTCTATCGAACTGATGTTCTGAAATTTGACACTCTTCTCTGCGTGCGTAAACTGTTACATTTGATCCGTTCAATGTCATATAAACACTTTGGTACACAGCAAGAGATCTGAGAACATGTCATATGATTTATAAACGTACGCACGCATCTTCCCACTAGAAATAGAGATCAGCAAAGTTTCATACTAATGATCTTCTTCCTTACTTACTATATTGTCAGATCATCTATGTAACACATTAACTTGCAAAGAAGAGGGCGGGGCATCACATAGTTGTAATCAAATGAAGGGATTCTAGACTAAAGGAAAAAAAAAATTGATTAAAAGTAGTAATTCGACCATAGCAAAACGATTTCTCTGATATGCCCATGTTTCCAAGCCCTGTTTTATTGTTGATTGACAGGGTTTGTAGCAGTTTGTCCTGTACGTGACATTGTTTACATTTTAGAATCAACATTCGGTCGATCTTGACTCGAAGTAGGTCAGCTGAGGTCAGTAAATCAAGGTTCATCTAGGGTCAATTCCGGAACAGTCCATCTTTCGGTTTGTGTAGATCAACCAGTTGAGAAATTCACCAGAAATGGTCTTTGCTAATGTTTACTAAGAAATAGATTGTACAACTTTAAAGCAAAGAATTTATGTTTTCCGGAAAAATGTTTAAAATGTAAGAATATTTTAATGGATGTTTGTTTTTGTCCCCCGCCAAATGGCACGTTCGTCAGGATTAAATTTCGCGGGTTTGCGGTGACGTCAGTAAACGTTGCCTTTCGAAGCTCTTCCAAGGGAAAAGAGGCGCCATATTGCTGAAGTGAGAGGTAGGACCACTCCTTTCCCCAAGTTTCCACCCTTCAGAGAGGTAAATTTCCGGTAATTTCTGTTCATGGACTCTTCGTTTATACTCTTCCAAAGGCGTGGTGAAAATGTCACGGTGTGGTTGTGGCGGTGAGAGCGGGAAAAAGCGAAAATCCGCGCCCATGTCAAGAGCCCGGCGGCGCTGAAGTGGTCTCAGCCCCGCATTACAAAATTAATCACTCCTTACCATATTCATCATCCGTCTGCTTCACCGCTGTACTGACACGCTGTGATTTTTACTCGGTATTCGAGCTCGTGATTTTTCACGACAATTATTACATCTAGTGTACTTAAAATGATTATTTCTTGAGTAGAAGACGGGTTTTGGTGGAGTATATTTTGGTCACGTCCGCGCCCATTCTCCACTGTCCTTTGTTGTGCCCACTTTCACTGCCTAGCCTTGAACGTGGCAGTCTGTCAGTGTCTTGGCTTGGCAGCTGTGTCTTCGGAAATGCTTCTTACAGGGTCTGGTTTCACCAAAGTCTTCCGATTTGAAGCGACAACTCGAGACAAGAAGGACAAGTCGTGAAGACCCGGTTTCGTGAGGTGGAATTCCAGTGTCGGCTGTGAACTTGAAATTGGCGTTTTCAGCCTGTTGCATGTGGTTAGCGGTATCGGGTTCGCGTTTTTTTTTAAAAGACAGAAATTGTCGATTTTAGTCTTTGATTCTCCCTCCATTGTCATGCCCTGTTAGCCTTGTTGTTTTCCAAGCTCTACACAGTTTTTAAATTGTAAACAAACCACCCATTGGGGAAAAATTAGGTAGGCGGGACCATGTGGTCTCATCACGCCCCCAGTTTGTTGACTTAGGGGGGCTTGGCGTGATTTAGCCAGGCCAGGCCAGGCAAATGCAGTTTGTTGTTTCAGGTCAGCCCTTAATTCATTGCCCAGTGTTAGAAAACAAAAATTATTTTTCACCTGTTGAACTCCACTATCTTAAAAACAACGCCCATTCAAGAATTATAATCAAAATCTATTTAGGAATGGCCAATTTTGTGAATCATTTGTAATTTTTAAATTGTGTACATTTCTTTGTTATTTTATATGTATCATATCTTTGTTAATTACTTTATGTTTGATGGTGGCACTTATATACTTAGCTTATATATATGCGGTCTTGTGTTTTCTTTCATGTGCTTTGATAAAAAAATTGTAATCGTTGGTAATTCCTTCTTCAAAGCCAACCACCATTCAGATTTTTGTCTGCGTGTTGTTTGAATAAGGCCACACCAATTTGATTTGTTGGTTCTCATATTTTTTAAAAATATGGTTAACTGGAACCAACAAAATGAATTGGTGTGGCCTAAGGATTGATTAATTGATTGTCAATGATTGATTGATTGATTTTCAGACGCTAGTTCAGAAACATGGCGTACATCATCAGAGAAGTGATGGACAATGAGGACCCTCCCCTGCGACCGAAGGATGTGGAGTGGAAATACAGGATGCAGTCCACATACGGACCTGGTAGGGTTAAATTTCACTGTTAGAAAATACTGTAAAATCATAGGCTGTATTGTATTATTGGACAACTTTTATCTATGTAATGTTACTTGTTGTTCCCGTATGTATAATTGTTGAATTAGGAATATCAGCCATGCTGCCTGTAAGTCAATATAATATACTGATGCATTTGACAACTTATAAAGGTTCAAATGGAGGTAACAATTCAGGACCTCATTCCCAGGGCCCAGCTATTCTGTACAAGTGCTTATTAAACCATATTATTATTATTATAAACAAACAAACAAACAAATTTTCTTTAGGCTACACTGTGCTGGCTCATTGTTAACTTGTGTATACTTGTGTGGAGAAGTTATAATAAACAAATAAACAAACAAAAACAAATTTTCTTTAGGCTACGCGAGGTGCACCAACTGCAACAACTCGTGGGGTACCCAGCTGTGCTGGCTGACGGTGAACCTGAAACAGCGCCGCGTGGTGAAGTGGTGGGAACAGAAGTGTAAGAAGTGCCAGACTCCGAACCGCATGCGCATCCGGAAAGACGACCTGTACATGATGATCGAAATGGCAATCGACAAGTAAGTACAGTCAGACCTCTAGTGCTAGTTACATGCTGCCAGGGATAGTATTGATGTGTGGTTGGATCTGAGGTCTACAAAGTATGGATACTTTGCCCAAGGTCTCCACTTAAATCTCCTTTTTCTAGTGTAAAAACATGGAGTCAGCTCCAATTTTTGGTGCACAATTTTTCAGCTCTACTTTCAACAGGTGTCATGTACAAGTAGGACATGTTCAGTTGATAGACAGTCCATGTACCTAAAATTTGTTTGGATACACAGCTCTAGTTTTTCAATCATTTGTTCCTGGTATGCCAGAACATTGATAGAAGGTATCTGTACCTTTGCCTAAAATTTGTTCAGGTGTACACACAGATGTACTTTTTTAATCATTTGGCGTTGCAACCATTGCAGGTACAGAAATGCATTGATAAACTGTACCTGTATCTGTACCTTAAATCTGCTCTAGATTTTTTATCATTTGTTGCGCATTGATAGACAATACATGTACCTGCACTTGTGCCTAAAATCAGCTGTCTTATTTTTACATTTTTATCAATTTTTAAAAAATCCTTTTTCCCAGGTACTACGCGTTGATAGATGTTTGTTGTTTGTTTTAGGTACTATGCGTTGATAGACGGGACGTTCAGAAAGCGTCGTCTGCGCCCGACGGAGAGCGACCCGCACGACATGAAGCTGTGCGAGCGCTGCCGGTACGGCGAGGCCGAGCAGCCCTGCTGGATGAACCTCTGGTACTGATGATGTCACCGTCACCGTAGCAACCACTGATGATGTCACCATTCCCATGGCAACCACTGATGATGTCATGGTTACCATTGGAACCACTGATGATGTCATGGTTACCATGGGAACCACTGATGATGTCACGGTTACCATGCGAACCACTGGTGATGTCACGGTTACCATGGGAACCACTGATGATGTCACAGTTACCATGGGAACCACTGATGACATCAGTTACCATGGCAACTGTTGATATCAAGGTAACCATGGCAACCATTGATGATGTCACAGTTGCCATGGCAACCAAAAGCAACACTATGACAGATGACAGACCAGGACCAGGGATTTTACCGCCTGCCGCTAACATGTAAAACACAACACTGGTCACTTCAGAGGCTTTGCTTTCACTAAATATAAGTTGAAGTGAAAGCTTGGAGTTCAGATACAGTGTTGTGTATGTATCCATTGGTGCTCTGTTGCAATGATTGTAACATGTTAACTTATATATGCTACCGTCCTATGTTACCAAATAACTTTGTTAGCAAAGGGACGAACAACAATATTCATATTTTTGCCTGAGAACCCCAAAGTCTATTTCCTTCTGGTTCTGTTGAGTACAAAGGAAAAGGGGAATATTTCCATTGCTTTAGCCTTGCCTGAAAAGGATTATTTTCAAATTTTGTCTCAGAAAGAAATGACTGAAAGTTAAGAGAATTTGGGGTTGAAAAAGTTTAGCTGGTTAAGTATTTAATGGAGTTGCATAACCATGCATAGAATTGGACAGAGTTTACAGTTCAAACATTGTTAAACTTTTGTTTATGTTTTTTATGTTGAAAATTGCACCTGTTTTTGCAATTGTTTGGGTTAAGAGTACAACTCGCCCCAGATTTGTTTAATACATGTAGTAATATCACATGACTCAAGCTTCATGGAGCCAGGTTTGATTTTAGTTTTTATGTCACAAAGTGATTATAATGGCTTATTATTGGCACACTAGTTTCAAACTAAATTTAGTCTGCCTCAGTTGAAGACAGGTTATATAAACTAGTCTCTCGTGGTTAGGGTGAAAATATGGTGCTCTCAAAACTTGGAAAAGATTTGCAAGAATGTTATTAGAGGAAAAAAGTGTAAATGACTTGGACTTTAACCCTTAAAGAAGGGGAAAGGAGTCAGTCAGGAAGCGAAAAATGTTCACGCGAGAGACTTATTTTGTACTTGTTATATTTTTGTACAAAAACCAGCCTTCTAGGAGAATGAGATTGACTATCTATATATTGAGGGGCAGAATAATTCTGTGTTTTCTCAGAAGAAAAGATTGTATTTCAGAGAGTTTTGAAAGTACATGTATTTGAAAATATCTGCCATATTTTCACTCTAAATGTTGCAAAAGCTCATGTATGTTTAGAGATGTACCTTCTCTATATGTGAGATTGTTAAGTTAGTTTAGTTTTCGTCTGGCCAGTGTTGCACTGCCTTATCGCAAGTCTAAGTCTTTCTTATAAAGGAGTTAAATGTGCTATCAGAAACAAGGTGCATGTTTAATTGCACATTTACACATTTCCTATAAGCTGACAGTATCTTTTGTACACAAGTGTTCACTCACAAGTGTTCAATACGCTTGTACAAAATGTATATTGAGGTGATACTATCAACTATAATATCATTAATGATAAAAGTCCAGTGGTGTGGCTGTCCATTACATACAAGTTCAGACAGTCAAGTTTTAGGTTTTAGTTGACATTATTTTTTTATTTTTTCATTTTTATATTTCTGTAGAAAACAAAGAAAGAAAACTGTTTTATGTATCAAAAATTGATCCATATTTTGCATGACAGTGGACTTTTGCTAATTTGGAAAAAAAGCTGTAATTTTTGCCCCTCGTCAAAGTTGGAAAAGTTTTTTGAAGGATACTTAAGCACACTGACGATACAACACTTCTAAGATTTGTTTCTGGACCAGGTTTTAAAAAATCCTCCTTTGCCGTAGAAATATCTTACTTAAGAACTTTCTGATAACATTTCTTAGTCGAGTCCCTTTTTTTTGCAAACTGTCCATATTCAAGACAGAGATGACTATACTATACTATAATAAGGGCGATGTGAGTTTTCCTATAAACTTATTTACATTTTGAACACCATGTGCCCTTAATAATACCACCTGTATGTAATGTTCCAGTAAGAGGCATTGTACATACTCAGCAGACTTTATAAAGTAGGAAAGACTGGAGTTATTGAGAAAAATCAGAAACATATCTGACAGTGTACTTTCTACTTGATGTTTAGGCCACAATGATTTCATTTCTTGCTAATTATTACTAAAACCAGTTTCTTTTCTGCTGTAAGAAATGTGATGCAGTACATTGTATTTCCATGTGCCAATGATAACAGAAAGGCCAGTATTGTAGTGATTTTGTATTTTCTACTCACTCAAAGTTATTGCACGATTGTAAAGTGTATCTAAGAGTGACTTAAGAAAATGTACAACGTTTCCAAAAGCTGAGAGGTTATCTATATTCCTAAAACTTCTGGTATGTTGAGCTGAGCTGAAGTTTTGCAGATTGTACGTTGGATTTGGACCAAACAAAAACAAAGAAACATGCCAACAGTTTCAAGAATTATTAAGTTGAGCCAGAGTAGAAGTTGATACATGTTAAAAGCTGTAGAATGTAGACTAACACGATATTTAGTAAGTTTTGCAGCACAAACGTGGTTAAAAAGTCTGTATATTTGTTACTGAAGGCTTCAGAATTCTGTACTGAAGTTTTTCTGCTGTTCAGCGATGCTGATGTCAGTTTGAATACAAAGTTTTGTTGAGAAAGTTACTGTGTTGTGTCAAGTGCTTTATTTAACCAAAGACTAGTCTGATTTGATAATAAATGTGTGCCTGTCCATGGTGTGTGTGTGCCTGTATATGTGTGTGTGTGTATGCCTGTATTTGTGTGCGTGCCTGTATGTGTGTGTGTGTGTGTGTCTTTTTCTTTGTGTATCTTGCTGTCACACTCTGTCTCTGTCCCCTCTCGCTCTTCCTCTCTCCCTCCCCCTCTCTCTCTCCCTCCCTCTCTCTCTCACTCCCAAAAATAACATTTGCGACTCCACTTGGGTGCGTATATTATATATTAGTTATAACTTTGTACAAAATTACAAATACTTGAGATTGAAATTAGTAGTAATTAGATTATCCAATCCACCTTCGCCACATGAGTGCCTAGCATTGTGTGGAAGGCATGTTCAGCACCAAGGACAGGATCCGGTATGCCCACTGTACACGCTTCAACCGACCGCTTTTTGGCCTAATTTGCAGTGTACATTGGCTAGGAACTCTTTGTAACGCTCTGGATACATTGTATAATGTAATTATGAATATAAAAAAACACTTAAATAACTTTATAGTATAGGAAAATTGGACAAGAGTGTTAGTTTCATACTGTGGTCACATAACAAGTATTCGTGAAAACGTTTATTCGCCGATACCACTCAAGTACCCGGCGGTAGATGCATTTTCATCAATTTTTTTTACCCTGATATGAGATTATTAGTCTTCGAAATTATATAGATTATCTATTATTTTCACTTTCTTCGCGCCATAATTATAAGTGCCTGTCACCGGGACAGGCCGTTATTGGTTGTCATAATTAGATTACAAGCTTCACATTAATGAGACAGGGCTGCTTTGCTCACCTGTGTAAAAGTGGCATGGTCCTTTCAAAATGGCGGTTTCGCAAGACGGGAGTATTCTTGGCTGATTTTCTTTACAAATATTTGGGTAGTTTTTAGAGTTTTTCGTCGGTAAAATGTTTTTGCTAAGTGTGCAGCAGAATATTGGGAAGTTTCAGCCGTGGATTTGTGCCGTTCTGGTGATGTTTTGAAGAGAAAATGCGGAATTCCTGACCTGCAGAATTTCGGAGAAGATCCCAACAAAATGGCGAGGCAGTTGGGAAGAGTAGCGTGGCATGGAGACGAACTTCGCCTACAAGTATTGTTGCAGGTAAACCAGCAAATTGTTTGGCTGACATTATTCCCTAGCAACTACAGTACGAACATGTCAAGTTTACAGTGTTATATTCCGTAAGAAATGGCCTAGTTCTGTATTAGAGAGTGACCGTTCCTAATTTTAGACAGGCTTTGAAAAAGTCTATCAAGTTGCCGCGTTTTCAACAACATTTTCAATGTGCGGTGCGCTTGTAGAGTGTTAAATGTATGTGCTTGTCTTTTTGTTAATTGCTCAGCGTTTTGAGGTTACATTTGTTGAAAAAACTTGTGCATTTTCTTTTCTTTATCTCCACGTGGTTCAAAACACCTGTTGGAATGTGCCCGTGCACATAATTGAATATTTTGATGATCCCGCCAAAAACTCGCGTAAACAAGATCGGGTCTTCAAAGCTTCAATGTGCCGAAATAAATACGATATAAAACGTTTGGAAACTTAAGTCCAGTTGATATAAATTCTTTCTTCATTATCATTTGCAAATGAATGTATGATCTATGATTTAAATGCTTGTTCGTTGAAATTTTCGACTATTTCAGTAATTGTAATGACCAAGGCCCAAGTATTTGTGGCGCAAACATAACAGTTGACCATGCTGTTTTCAAAACATTTTGCGCCTTTTATATAAATTCCACTTAAAGTTTCAGTTGAAGGGGTTTTGATTTATTTCATTTTTGTTGATATCCCCATTTTTTTATGGTCATTATGTACAATTTTTGTCGAGGTATTTGTTTTAAAGTCAAGAATTTTAAGGTGTGTGTGTGCATTGCTAGCTTTAAGAGACTCAGTAAACATCAGTGAAAAAAACATAAACTGTAGCGGTAGAAGAATAAAACAAACTTTAATAGATAAATCCTTATCTTGTCTGTCAAATGCATGCTTGTAATTTAGTTATGGTTCTTGTTTTCTTGCTGTCCCATTTTCTCTGATGGTACTCCCCTACTCCAAAAATGTAGTTTCAGATTTCATATCCACATTCATGTAAGAACTTTTTTACCTCACAATTTCTCTTGTATTGTGACTCTCATAAACAGACTGTGTATAGAAGTAGGACCATGTGTTTTATATCAAAGTCTTGCTTGTAAAGTTGTGTTCATTGTCTTTTTTTTGCTTCATGGTTGTCACGATGATGTAGATTAAATTTTTCAAGCTGGTAAAATGATAAGTGTTTTTTTTATTTTACACCTTGTAGCCTAAGCTGATACTATTTCTTCTTTTCATAGAATCCTGTAGTGAGCTGTGCTCTGAGGGTCAGCAACCTGTGCAGGTGTTCAGTACTGATGGGATGAGACCTGTGATGACAGAGGCACCAGGTGATCGGATACACATAGGAGTATTGGGCCAGGTGAGAAAAATCTGAATTCTGCATTTTACCTTCAACTATTTGGTGTTATTTGAGACAAGTGTGTAACTTGTAATGTCTGTATAGTTACATTGTAGGTGGCTGCTGACTGATGCAGTAGTGGGGACTCCTGTCTGAACCTGACAAGAGAAGATTGGACCAGACCAGATGATTTGAAGACCCAAGAGGAATATCAGGTGAGAAAAATCTGAATTCTGCATTTAACCTGCTATTTACTTCATGTTATTTGAGACAAGTGTGTAACTTGTAATGTGTGTGTAGTTAGGTGGCTGCTGACTGATGCAGTAGTGGGGACTCCTGTCTGAACCTGACAAGAGAAGATTGGACCAGACCAGATGATTTGAAGACACAAGAGGAATATCAGGTGAGAACTTGAAATCTAACTTGTAAATTGTACCAGTAATAATTTCTTGTTGTTACTTGAGACAAGCATGTAACTTTGTAATGTCTATGTAGCTAGGTGACTGCTGACTGATGCAGTTGACTGCAGTGATGATTCTAAACCCGACAAGACCAGATGTTCGTGTTCTGAGAAACCTGGTGACCGGCAACTTCTCTCCAGTCCAGACCAGCAAATCAGATGACCTGAAGACACAGTGAGTTTGTACAGGTGAGACAATGGTTCTCAATTTACAAGTTATATTTTTCTAAGGCATTTCACAATTCTGAGGCATGGCGCAATAGATAACTTTCTAGAGGCTAGGATTTTGTACATCTATTCAACGAAACGGATTGCCCAATTGTGCAATTTTATAATTTAGTCTATCTTTAATGGTCATTCAGTGTTGCATCACAATAACCATCTGTTCATATCGGTAGGTGTGTCCTGAGTGTCAGCTGTCCTGATGTTCCTGTCCTGACTGGGAGAAACCTGTGATGACCAGCGACTCCTGTCCAAACCAGACCAGATGAGGGCTGAGAAGACTGGTTGACTTGAAGACTGGTGGAATGAAGAGAGTTTACAGGTGAGACAATGCTTTACAACTTCAGTTTACCTTAGACTTGTTTCTTTCAAGATAAAAAGTTTTGGATCAGAAGAAAGTCTGGCGTTTTACAATGTTTATGTAATGTTCCTCAGTGAAAAACACAGTTGTGTTGTAGGCAGTATAATTATAATAAATGTTTTATTGCAAATGCATGCCCGAGGGCTAATTGCAGGAACAGAAGAAACATTTGGTACCAAAAAAAACAGACAATTAGTACACATAGAACTACTGATAACTATTAAGAAACTACTAGTAAAAACTACTGGGTTTGACTTCTTTTTTGAAGACAGAGGAAGACAAAGGACCCCACATTTTCTGTAATCTGTGGGTGTTTGGATGTTAAGAGGAGAGTAGTTTTCTTTTCATTTGTATATGTGTGAAAGTGTGTGTGGGTAGAATTTGGAGGCTATGTCAATAGAGTTTATTTCGTTCCTTGCCATAGAGGGTACAATTTGAGATAAAATGCGTTTTATCTTCCACCGTATTCAACGTACAATGTTTGCAAATTCGTTCATACACTTGGAGCTTGTTATACCGCCCTCTCTCAATTTCAAGAGGGTGTGCACTAATTTGTAATTTACTTATCGCAGAGCGAATATTAAAATCAGTTTAGTCGAGGTATTTTTTCCATAGAATATGTTGTTTTACATTTTTTGTAGAACCTTAGCTTACCAGAATCAACATTTAACTTGTGGTAAATAGTAATTATAATATCCTATTTCTGACTAAAGGTGAATTGCTCCAATATATACTGACTTTTGTTTTCCTCTCCCCACATGACTTATGGTGGAAGGAAAGAAGGAAGGAAGGACCAGACTTTTACCAGTAAAGCAGTGAGAGAAGACACAGGCTGGGGTCAAGTTGTGAGTATAGTTTATTTGTGTAACACAACCAAGTACACACACTTGCACACATTTCTATCCTTATACCCTCTAACTCTGCCTTGCACTTTTCCTTTTCCACTTACTTGTAACCTTCACTGTCAAACTTCCACGGTGGTTAAATTTGGCTCATATTTGCTTTTACGTAATTTGAACCAAATGCATGTTCCACTTGCAGTCATTTACAGAAAACCTGCGCCTTCGGGCCATTTTTTTCACGGTTTCCTCGTATCAGAAAGAAATTTTTGCACAAATAAACTGTTTTCTGGAATGTACACCTATTCAGTCATTTAGGTGTGGACATGTAACATGTAAAAATGCTATAATTGCAAATTCAAACATTTGAGATCACAATCAAGGAGCATTCAATTAACGTCATTGCTGGAACAAAAAGATTTGTGTTTTAGGGATTTTTTTTTGTAGAATGACTAGTTAACAAAACTCTTGTGTCCAGACTATTTTGAAAAGTTTCACAGCTAGCCCCAAATTGTCTCAAGTAACTTGATACTTTGCTGAACGTGCCCAGCCACAGAAAGAGTACCAGACCACCATGCTCATTTCTCTTTTACACTTCTCACTTAACTTTCACAACTCTTTAAATGCTTCACATTCTGGACTTCTTGTCTTTGGACCTTTACTCACAACATCTTTCTTCACCCTTTCGCTAAACCCTTCACTCAAACTTGCATGGTACATCACCCTTTTCCTGACGCTTTGGACCTTTACACTTACCGGTAGCTTCCCTAACCACTTCAACTCTTCACTTAAAATCTTCCTCTGCTTTTGCACGCTCAACTTTTAGGTCGAAGGTCCCTTTCACACTACGGTAAAATTGTCCGGATCAAGCCGAATTGATTCGCTTTGCTTCTGCTTCAAGACGAATCAAAGTGAATCAATTCGGCTTGATCTGGACAATTTTACCGTAGTGGGAGTGGGGCCTTAGTCAGACACTAACTTGCACTGCTTTTAATTACACGGTACGCCACTCTTTTCTGCGCTCTGATGCTTCACGTACCATTCTGGCACACTCTTTTCCTTGGTTTTTAGCCTGGGTGCCATCCTCCGTAGTTTTTGCCCGCTCCCTAATGTCACTGGGCACCACGGTCCGGTGACATTAGGGAGCGGGCAGAAACTACGAAGGATGGCACCCAGGCTACTTGCCTTTCATCCTTGAACTCTGGTTCTAATTGCACGGTACATC